CAAGCTAGTTTATACGCTACTGAGTATATCGAAATATCCGGATAATACAGATATTCGAATAACTCGAATAGTGCTATTCGTACTATTCGCTGCACAAAGTATCCGGATATTCGAATACTATCCGTTGATCGAAGTTTATTCGTACATATATATTATATTCGAATATCCGGATATCCGAATCACACTGTTATTCGAATTTAAGCCGCAGCCCTATTAATATTGCGTGGAGGTTACACGGTTGGATTTACACCTCTTTTGTGTGTTTGCGTGCGTGCATGATCATATCAACACACACACACACAAAATTATTAAATATAAAAATTTAAATATTAAATATTAAATTTTTTTTTATTAAACGTCTGTAACATTTTAATAATAAATTCATAACTTTCTGACACATTAACAACCGTATTTAAACTCCAATCGGCCTATACAATATTTTCCACTTTAGAAGTAATTTAATATTAAATTAATCTATAACCTTGCAATATTACAGTAATATTCTTGATATATCACTGCAACATTACTGTGATATATCATCGTAATATTACTAAGATGCGATTCGGCGGACATTTTAATATTACTGTGATATTACAGTAATACTACTATGATATTTCTACTATATTAGAGTGTAATATTGCAATCGAAAAACAATATTACTGTAATATTGCAGTAATATTACGTGCTATGTGGGTAGTAATGCTAATGTCGGCGGTACTGTAACTTTCGAGTCTTATTAATGGAAAAGTACTTAACAAAAAAGTACTTAATATTAATGTTTTGGAAAGCTCTCAAAAAAAGCTATAAGAATATGTTATGAAAAGTTCAGGATTCTATTTAAGAATTTGATGGTGATCTTCACGTGACCTTGATAACGCTATTTAAGTACATAATAATATTACCACGGAATGCGCCTTATAAAACTCTAACTTTTTATTCACAATTTTTTTTCCAAAAGCGTTATTTCTCGAGTTATTTTAGTGTCCCTACCTTTTTTCACCACCCTGTATATACATATATATATATAAGTTGTTCCGTAATTGTCGTACAATCTCTCGTGGGCAGGTAGAGACGGTTATATCACAGTTATATTGAGTCAAAAAGTCCTTTATCACTTTGCGAGATTGCAATAATTACCAAAATCTTAATTAATAAATTTCTGCGAATGAGCGTGCATCGGGCTGTCTTACGCGCGTTGGACAGCACGGCGCATTTTGCGCGCTCATGATGTTATCCGTAGCAAGGTGTGGGAGAAGTTAATATAACAGTATGTACTATAACATATACATAATAAAAGGTATCCGCGCAAAGCGCGCCGGGCTGTCTTACACGTGTAAGACAGCCCGATGCACGCTCATTTGCAGATCTTTTTTGATCTCGATAATTATTGCAAATTTCGCAAAATGGTAAAAAACTTTCTGACTCAATATAACCCTCTCTATCTGAGATTGTACGGCAATAACGAAACATCTTGTATATACAAGGTGACGAAAAAGTACCGGAACACTTGAATATTTCAGAAAATATAAGTTTTACAGAAAAGTGTTTCAGACAAAAGTAGTATAGTTTAAAAAGATCTATTTACTGATTGTATTACTGTGATACTTGGATTGCGCCGCCAAGGTCAGGTCAAGGTCACATTGATTTTTTTAAACATAACTTTCTATTTTGTATTGTAGATTCTTATAGCCTAACTCAAGAGCTTTCCAAAACACTATAATAAAGTTTATTTTTATTTAAGTATTTTTTAACTTATGAGAGTTAAATATTAGAGTACCGCCGATACTTTTTCTACGAAAATGATTTCAATCAAAACGAATTTTGTGAGTTCGTGATGCAGAGAACTGACAAAGAACCTAACTTCTTATTCAACATAGTTTTTTTTGGAACCAACATTCGAAATAAATGATAACGCCAATGCGTAATGCTAATACCGGCAATACTCTAATATTCAACTCTCATAACTCAAAAAGTACTTAATAAAAAATAACTTTATTTTAGTGTTTTGGAAAGCACTTGACACCAGCTATTAGATTCTAAAATAAAAATAGGATGTTTTATTTTAAAAAACTTAATGTGATCTTGACCTGTGTGTGTGTGACTTATTTAATACCACTCAAAGTCAAACTGATAATATCAGTAAATAGATCTTTTTAAGTTTTATAACTTTTGTCTAAAACATTGTTTTATAAAACTTATATTTTTCAAGTTATTTAGGTGTTCCGGTACTTTTTTTGTGACCTTATATATATGTATATGTATATGCAGTGTATAAATAGTACCGGTATTGCAAAAAATCTGGAAAACTAGGCATTTTACGAAAAAATGTTTCAGATAAAAGTTGTACGGTTTTAAAGGATCTATTTACTATTCTTATTAGTTTGACCTCGAATGTGACATCCAAGCCCATACAGCACAGAACATTCCGGTTATGTTGCTATAATGTTACATCATTGCAAATTGCAATGTAATGTAACAACAATATTATAAAAACACTGCAATTGCAATAAAACAATAATAATATTGCAGCAATGTTTCCAAAATAATGTAATGTAACAGCAATATTATAAAAGCATTGAAATTGCAATAAAACAAAAATAATATTGCAGCAATATTTCAAAAACGATAATACAAATATAATATCATAATTTTAAGCTAAATTAGACAAAAAGATCATTTTACTACACTTATAAAAACAGAATGAAAAATATGTATCATTATAAAAAAACAGTAATTATTTTTGGCTGGTTTAGTTATATTTTTGATTATGTAGCGTACATTTATAAAATATAGTTTATAACAGTGAAGCAATGTCTACACTGAGTTTTATGAGAGAATATCAAACGAAACAAACAAAAACTCGGAACAAACGAAAACTCGTCTGTTTTGCACATATTCTCTACTACTAGAAAATCTCCCCACTCTACAGCCATTGGCTGTCATCGAATATCCCGCCAATTCCGGGCGTAACACTATCCTCACATTGCACGTTGTTCTTCTTCTATGCACAGACTGGCACAGATCAATTCTCTTAGTAAACTCATTGTTAGTATAAATACAAGTTGGCACATACAGTTGGCATTGTCTTTATAATTTTGGTAANTACACAATTATTATTATAATTATTTTTAAATATTTAGTATAGTCAAGATTATACTTATTTAAATAATAAAAGCACGTCAACATTTAAATAAAGTAAGTATTAAAATAAAGTATTATTAAGTAATAAGTATTATTTTGCCTATATATCAAAAAATTTCTAAGGGTAAGGGTACTTAGGATGTTATTAAAGTAAAGGTACTTATATATATCCATAAAATTATAACTGTTAATTTAAACTATTTTTATAAAAACTATTTAAATGTCATTGTTACTGTTATAACATACATTAATGTTTTTTCAATCAATATAGTTAAAATTGTAGATGTTATTAAATTAAATTAGTAAAAGCGTATAAACGTAATCTATCAAATAAAAAACCATATTTTGCAATATTATATAAATATTACATTCTAATTATGCTATAATATTATAGTGCAATGAAAAAACATATTTTGCATTATTATATATATATTTTATTTTAATATTGCTATGATATCATATTTTAATATTGCTATGATATTATGTTGCAATTTCTAAAGGCGGACATTTTACCGTTGCTGTAGTGTCACAATAATGTTACTGTGGTATTTTGCACTTGCAATATTGCAATCGTGCAATGAAATATTTCTGCAATATTCCTGCAATCGTTTTGTGCTGTATGGGAGGTCAGGACAAGATCACCTTGAATTTTTTAAATAAAACATCCTATTTTTGCAGATTCTTATAGCTTCATTCAAGAGCTTTCTAAAGCACTATAAGAAAGTTTATTTTCATTGAGTTTTTTTTGACTTATGAAAGTTCAATATATTACATATCGCCGGTATTAGCATTATCTATTAACGTTATCATTCATTTCGAATGTTGCTTTATCCAAAAAAAACTGTGTTAAATAGGAATTAGGTTCTTTGTCAATTCTCTGCATCATGAGCTCACAAAATTCGTTTTGATCGAAATCATCTTTGTAGAAAAAGTACAAGTAGATAGTATTCTAATATTCAACCTTCATAACTCAAAAGATATTTAATGAAAATAAACTTTATTATAGTATTTTAGAAAGCTCTTGAATTAAGTTTTAAGAATTTGCAATAAAACGAGTTTTATTTTAAGAAAATCGATGTAACCTTGATCTAACCTTGGCTGTGCTATCCAAGTCACACTGATACAATCAGTAAATAGATCCATTTAAACCCTACAACTTTTTTTATCTGAAACACTTTTTCGTAAAATGCCTAGTTTTTGAGATTTTTCGCGATACTGGTCCTTTTTATACACTCTGTATATACATGTACATATATGTATATATCAGAAAAAAAATATATATGTGTATTATATAATTGTTAGTTTTAATATGTATTTGTTTGTTTTACCATAACGACAGATCGAAAGTGATACCTTATTTCAGACTTCACTTCGCTCGCCATTTCTTTCGAGAATTCCATCAAGTACTCGGCGATATCACTGGCTGTGAACGAATCGTGCCTTTTATCTTCTATAAACGTTTGATTAACCATGCTATGAGCCCGCGAGTGATGCTGCGGCGTGTTCTCAGATGTGTTGGTTTCTGAGAGGGCATCATCCACTTTTGAAATGACCTCTCGAATCTCAGATTTTATCTCAGTTGCTAATTCCTTAGTCACCTCTTTCACATATGCGCTTAAATCATCCTCGGATTTTTGTCCGGTGTTTGCTGAAATAGGTGACGATCTACCACCGCCTATTAGCCTTTCGGTATAATCGCTGTTTGATGAATACGAAGATGGTGGAGAAGCTGGATTGTGATTATAGTTTAATGATGAAATAGAATAACTCGGACTGGCAGAATCCAATTCCAACGAATTTAATTCTGTCTGACTACTGCAGCTGCAATGCAGTCGTTTATGCTTAGACGAATTGTTTGATGTGCTCAGTCCCAAACTAGTGAGAGTCTGTGGACTCAATGGAAGCGGTGGAATTGGCGAAGCTGCTGATGCTGCACCCACGCGATTTCCTGAAACGTTGCATCCGTCAGTGGTACTGCCCAGTGAGTTGCATCGCGCGCGTCCTGCATTAGTATCTGCCAGTTCTTTAAAAGATCGGACTGTCGTATGAGATATCGATCCCAGAACCGAAGCCGTCACAGCTTCACCCACTGCAAATCTGATCGGCATTGGCGAATTCGGGCAAGTAGCGGGCAATCGATGTCCAGCCGAGAAATTGCTGTGCTCATTTTGATTTGAACTTTCTTCCTCGCTGTTGTTTGACGAAGACGACGGCTGACTCAGTTCCGTTGTAGTAACAATCATGGCACGTTTATCTGTGCTCAACGCAGGCAAACTTCGATGCCTCGGTGAGGTCGCAAAAATGGGCAGATTCCCCGTGCGTGGAATGTCGCTGTTAAGACGTCTGATACCATTAGTCATTGTTAGACAGTTGACTAGACTGTCGTGACAGGCAATGACAGTGCTTGTATGATTGAATCTATTGGAGGCTAGCAATGGATTAAACGGAACGTCCTGCTTAACATTCTGCGAATTACCGAGAAGAAGATCCTGTGCCTCGCTCGGCAGCATAAACCAACGCAACGCCTCCATTCGTTCGCACGCAAAGTTGAAGCTTTTATCGATTTGCAGCGGATAGCGCTGTGCCATTTTGCGTGCACGGTTAAAGATATTGCGAGCAGTTTGCAAACAGTCGCCGTACGTCTGTGGAAAAACACCGGAACCGGAAACTCGTCTCTCCGTAGTGTTCATCCTGCCGTCCGTGTATCTGATGGAACCCAGCCACTTGCGCTCTTTGAAAACACTGTTAGTGTGATGTCTCCATTCGCCGTTGTCGGGATTTAGTACGTACTGCGGCAGCAATTTCCAACCTTCGGTAGCCACCATTTTAAGGGCTTCCAGGATAAAGGCGACTTCGGCTTCGCTCATGAAATATGGAAAGGCCAGTCTAGCAAAGCCCGGTCTGAGAGCCTCCGTGGTAGTCTCCTCAATGCCGTTGCGTTGTCTAAAATAAAACGAGTACGTGCTCAATTATCAGTATAATTTCTGTGCACACGTGACATTTTTGTGCGAAAATAGAGTCAAGTCGCGCACCAATGATTCGTCGCATATTTGACGTAATCTCTATTTCTATGCGCGTTGATTACGCGAAATGACTTACTGTGCATTATTAAGTGTAAGGGACTATTTCCTGCCGTTGGTGGCCCGCGCAGAGTAATGTAATGCAAGGCGATATCGCACAGAACATTTTAGAACATTTCAATATCTAGCAGTAATCTTGCATTTTTTATAACATTTCAGTACGCAATGTTAGAAAACAATTGTTGAAAAATTTAGGAAATTATAATTCAACATAGGAAAAAGAGAAAATATGCAATAAAAATTGAAATTATCGTAAGACTCAGAGAATTAAAGTAGAACAAATTACAAACAAATAAACAAAAAGATATCAGCATATGTAAAATAATAAAACTTATCTATTGTGATAACAAATATTATAAAGCTTACGATGATATCCAACTTAAAATCATGAGCCTATATGCCAAAAGTATCAAGAGGCACGGTAGTGCTTCGCGCCAAGTTCACGCGCAACGAAGTGGCAAACGAACTGCGCGAGACGCACCGTGCCTATTATACGCGAATATCAGTTTTCGAGAGACATTGTGAAATATTAAATATTCATATTTCAATAACGACTGAGCCGATTGACTTCTTTTTAGTTTCAATCGATTTGAATTACAAAAATATAAAAAAAGTGTTTATGTGTTTTTTTTTGTCTTTGTCTTCTGTTCGACGATATTAAACATTTTTTTCAAAATATATAAAGTTTTATCATGTTCGGACCTCTGACTATACAGGGTGAGGCATTTAAATTGAGACAACCGAATATTTCGAAAACAAAGTATTTTATGAAAAAATGTTTTAGACAAAAGTTGTTATATTTTAAGGGAGAAAGAGTACTGCATTAATGTTTTTTAAGTTCGTGGACGCCTTCAAGGTCATTTGAAGGTAAACTCCATTTTTTAAAATAGGAACCTACAGTTTTCTCAACAGATCCTCAATCCTTGTCAAAAAGTGAGTAACTTTTGTCTGAAACGTTTTTTTCTGTGATACATATTTTTCGAAATATGTAGCAAAATGTCCATTGATCATTGCGTCGAAATAACGATTTGATATAAACTTTTCGAGCAGATACAACGTTCCGAAATTTCTTGCAAATACTGGAACAGAAAATTATTAGCGAGGAAGGGCGATGGTGATCGGGCGAGAAACGTAGTTGTACACCTCGAATTTATGAATACTGAATATTTATTACACTCAGAAAAAGATGACAGAACATAGAGTACACTACTGCGAACAAAAATAGTCTTTGTGTAGATTGCACTTCTTTTGTGAGCACTTCGGACGATTCGATGTCGCCTGTTGTTGTTGTTGTTCAAGCGAGAGCGACGGAAGTAAGTGGCGGGTAAAGAAAGTTAGACGAGAGACGAGAGCGCCTCTGGTGGGTCTTCTGATTATGACGCGCAAGCGCGATCTCCAACAAAAATAAACATGGAAATAAGCAAATTAGAAATTATTAGAAAAATTATTAGAAGAAAATGTAGTTCTCACGATTAATGTGTTATTTCAATAAATGTTCGAAATAATGGCCTTCAGCTTCGATGCATTTTTGTATTCGTCCGAGAAATGATCGGCAGACGCGTAACAACAAGTCTTCATCGATTTGTCTGCATGCGTTTCTTATTCGGTTGATCATATCATCCCGAGTCGTTGGTACGTCGCGATATACGATTTCCTTTAGATAACCCCATAAAAAAAATCTGGAGCTGTAAGGTCCGGTGATCGAGCAGGCCAATTTACAGGACCACCTCGTCTTATCCAACGACCATTAAATTTGCGATTTAAAATTTCCCGTGCTATTAGTGAATGGTGTGCTAGGCAACCATCATGTTAGTACCATAAGGTCATTCTTTCTGACAATGGTAATTCTTCAAGACAAAGTGGCAACTGTTCAGTTAAGAAGTCTCGGTATTTTTCTCCGTTTAACGTACCATCAATGAAATACGGACCAATTAATTTTTTGCCTACTATGCCACACCAGACATTAATAGCCCACGGCCGCTGATGCTCCACTTCACGTAACCAATGTGGATTGTCTACGGCCTAGTAGTGTAAATTGTGCGGAAAAAAATAATTGTGCAAAAAATCGTTGTTTATTCGGAATTTTTCTAATGCCCATTCACAGAACCTCACGCGGTTTACGAAATCGTTTCTATGCAGATCCTGATGTAGAGATATACGGTATGAGTTGAATTTATGCCGGTTGAGTATTCTGAGAACACTTCTTTGTGAAATTCCACTGGTCCGAGAAATAGTACGTGAACTAATGTGGGTCTTGAGCGATTGCAGCTAATACCATTATTTTGTTATCCGAATTTGTTACAGAATTCTTACGTTTTCTTTTTTTTGGGTAAACACTTCCATCGTTCAAAAATTGAGTGATAACGCGATGAATTGTAGCACGCGAAGGAAACTTATTTGCTTTAGAGAATTGTGCTGCAAATTAACGGTCAAATCCAAATTTCGACCACATTCACCGTAAAGCAAAATTATTTCGATTTTCTCCGCGGTTGTGTATCTCTCCATATTCAAAAGGCAAACTAACTCTGACTACACAATTTGCGATAAGTCAAAGACTTAATCTGTGTCCTTACAGGCTTTATTTACATCTTCGTGATTATTTACATTCAAGCGTTCACTGGATTGATGAGGTAGAGTAATCGTTATTTCGTCGCAATGATCAATGGACATTTTGCCACATATTTCGAAAAATATGTATCACAGAAAAAAACGTTTCAGACAAAAGTTACTCACTTTTTGGCGAGGATTGAGAATCTGTTAAGAAAACTGTAGGTTCCTTTAAAAAAATGGAGTTTACTTTCAAATGACCTTGAAAGCGTTCACGAACTTAAAAAACATTAATGCAGTACTCTTTCCCCCTCAAAATATAACAACTTTTGTCTGAAACATTTTTTTATAAAATACTTTGTTTTTGAAATATTCGGTTGTCTCAATTTAAATGCCCCACCCTGTATAATATATGGACTGCTAGTAGCTAACTTCAAACGTGTCGCCAACATAGACTTATATAATAGACGGAGCATTCGTATAAGAGAAGCTGAAGACTTCATTAAAAGAGATAGAAATAATCGTGGAACAGTTCTCTTTTTTTCTAGCAGTGAGTTGATTGGTGGCTGCAGCAGACCAAGAGCAACGAAGATAGAGTCCGAGAGTCAGTTGAGAGAAAGTGATAGTAAAAGGTGATAGCATAGACTTGTGAGATGATTGATCCCCCCACCGCTCTTATTGTAAGAGAGAGAGACAACCACTCCAGCACTATTTCTGTCCTTTAATGTTGTCTTCAACTTCCTCATATGAATGCTACGTCTATTATATAAGTCTATGGTCACCAAGCTGCAAACGTGTAAGCTCCGCCCCGATCAGTAATTTTCTACAAGAGTGGGGAGGCCTTTGTGAAAATGGTGAAAATCAGTGTGAAATTCCCGTTTACTGTTTTGTACATTTACGGCCGATTTCTTCATACCTCTCGATAGCTATCCTCTGGATAAATTCCTCTGAGAACCAATAAGGAGAACCAATTTTGGGAGATATCTTCTAGATAAAGTCATCGAAAACTTATCTAGAAGTGAAAAAATTGGCTGTTACTGTGTAGTTAGTGTTTGCTGTTAATGTGTTTATACTGAGTTTGATTTTTTTCTNTATCGAAAATGTATTGCTTTGTTTACGGATGCAAATCGTCAACGTACAAACGCAAACATGACGAGAAGAAGTCAGTTTTGCCATTTTACAGGTGAGTTAGTTTATCTCTGCAAATTGTTTTTCACTTGTAAATGGATATTCAGTATAATCCATTAATTATGTACTTAATTTAAAGACAATAAAAAACAACAAATAATATACAAACACAGCAACTTTCGACCAATTTGTTTGAATTTCCCAGCATTTACTGATTAGGCGAAGCCAATAAATCGCACTTCGATATCTCAGCCAACTTCAGCTTGGCGACACCGGACATATGTCTTTAGCATAGTAAAAGTGAAAGAACTAGGGCTGCGTTCGGAAAACACGCTTTCAGCACTATTGCGTCATTCTATCTTTGTTTTACATCTAATGAGCAATAAAGATAGAATGATGCAACAGCGCTGATACATATACAGGGTGTCTGACAACAAACTATAAAACCGACGTGTGTAGGTAGATCGGGACATTCTGAACAGAAAAGGTATTTACCATTTTGCAAAATTCGCAATATTTAATGAGATATAAATTAATAAATGTGAGCCAATGAGAGCGCGGGGAGCGATGATCGGACTCTATAGGCGTGCACGTATATCAGATGAAAAGAAAAATGTTTCTCTCATGCAATGTCTTAGCAACGAGAGGCGGAGTAAACAAACAAGCGCAGCGCGACTCAGTTTCTTGCGATCGGGCGCTATTCGGCGGTACGCAGCGAGCAGCGGCGAGCAAAAAGTAGAGCTGATAATTGTGCACGCCTATAGAGTCCGATCATCGCTCCCCGCGTCCTCATTGACTCACATTTATTAATTCAGATCTCAATAACTATTGCAAAGTTTGCAAAATTGTAAATAATTTTTCCGTTCAGAATGACAATCTACCTACACACGTCGGCTTTATAGTTTGTTGTCAGACACCCTATACAGTCAAAGGTTTCAGACGTTGTCTCCAATGTGTAAAGAATGTGTGCATTAGTACTACTGCTTCCAAGATATGGCGACATCCACAAGTTGAACAAAAAATAAGGAAGAGAATTATAATGTGCCGAGAGAAAAAAAGAGAAATATATATATAGAGAAATAGAAAAAGAGAGAAAGAAAGAATGAAAAAGAATGAAAGAAAGACTAGCAGAAAGTGTGAGAGAGAGAGAGAGAGAGAGAGAGAATGAGAGAGAGTGAAAAAAAGTGAGAGAGAATGGGAGAGAGTGGGAAAAAGAGTGAGAGAGAGTAAAAAAGAGTGAGAGAGAGAATAAGAGAGAGTGAAAGAAACAGTGAGAGAGTGAGAGAGAGTGAGAGAGAGAGTGAGAAAGAGTGCAAAAGAGTGCGAAAGAGTGCAAGAGAGAGTCCGAGAGAGAATGAGACAGAGTGGGAGAGAGTGCAAGAGAGTAAAAGAGAGTGAGAGAGAGTGCGAAAGAGTGCGAGAGAGTGCGAGAGAGAGTAAAAGATAGAGACAGAGAGTGCAAGAGAGAGTGAGAAAGAGTGCGAGAGAGAATAAGAGAAAGAGTGAGATAGAATGCGAGAGAAAGTGAGAGAGAGAGAGTGAGGGAGAGTGCAAGAGAGTGTGAAAGAAAGTGAGCGAGAGTGTGAAAGAGTGCGAGAGACAGTGAGAGAGTGTGAAAGAGAATGCGAGAGGGAGCGAGAGTGTGAAAGAGTGCGAGAAACAGTGAGAGAGTGTGAAAGAGAATGCGAGAGAGAGCGAGAGAGTGCGAGAGAGTGAAAGAGAGTGAGAGAGTGAGAGAGAATGTTAGTGAGAATGAGAGAGAGTGCGAGAAAGTACAAGAAAGTGCGTGAGAGAGTAAGAGAGAGTGCGAGAGAAAGTGAGAAGAGTAAAAGAAAGTGCGAGAGAGAGTGCAAGAGAGAGTGAAAGAGAGTGAGAAAAAGAGCGAAAGAGAGTGAGAGAGAGTGGGAGAAATAGTAAGGGAGAGTGAAAAAGAGTATGAGAGAGAGTGAGAGAGAGTATGAGAGAGAATGAGAGAGAATGCGAGAGAATGAGAGAAAGTGAGAGAGAGTGGGAGAGAGAATGGGAGAAATTGAGAGAGTAGAAGAGAGAATGGGAGAAATTGAGAGAGAGTGAGAGAGATTGAGAGAATGAGCGAGTGAAAAAAACAGTGCAAAGAAGTGAAGAAAGTGAGAAAGAGAAAGTGAGTATGAAAGAGACAGAGAGAAAGAGAGAGAGAGAGAGGGATAGTAATAGCGAATGAGAGAGAAAAGTGAAAGAAAAAGTGAGAGACAGAGACAGAAAGACAGAGCAAAAAAGAGAACGCAACGATAATGATCATATGAGGAATATAAGAAAGTAGTATGAAATATATAGTATACGAGTATTCCTTATAATGTAAAACGTGATGCTTGAAGTTCTTTTGGTTCTTTGCGCAAACGTAGATTTTATAAAAAATGTAGTCGAGCATCAAGTAACTTCTACTACACGATGTAAAACTTGTGAGTATACAAATACAGTTGTACCAAATAATATTTTGATTTTAATTTCTGGTATTAATTTAGAGAAAAAGAGGTATGATCTAAACGATTTATACAATATTAAATCGTACCCTTCCTCATTGGTGTGACTCATATAACAATTTCTGTAAAACTTGTAAAGGAATAGAATGATATTTAAAAGAGAATTAACATCAACAAAAGAAATACTTATTATTCGTTTTCTATTATTTTCACCAGAAGATAGGAAAGTAATACCAGCGAACAAATTTAATCTACGTGCTTTACCAACGACTAAAGTATCAGTAGATGGACAGCTGTATAAAATAATGAATGCTATATTTAATAATGGTCTGTGTATTGAAAAGAGTCATTATACAAGAATGTGTAGAGATGGAAAATCGATCCGGCACAGAATTGATGATATGCAAATTAGAAAACACCACTGGCCTGAAGGTGCTACAAATTTTTATATTCTTTTCTCAAAAAATAAAAAAATAAATATTTTACTATTGTTAAAAATTGAGAAAAAAGAGAATATAGAAAAGAAGATAAATTTGAAGATAAACGTATGTTCTACAAAATGTGTGATATCTCGTAAAACTTACCTTTTTAAAAAAAGGGAAAAAAGGCACCAAGTACACGCCAAACAAACATATCTTTCTCTACAAAACCAGTTTTACAAAAGAAGTGATATCAAAAGTAGCACCAAGTACACTTATGTACATTTTCCTTAAAAACATTATATTAAATAATATATATTAATTAAAAACATTATATAAAAACTAAAAAGTATAAAATCATTGTATCAATAGTTAGACTTTGCCGTTTGTGAAAAGTTAAAACATAAAAAATAATTAAGACAAAAAAACTTGGGGTGGCTGCACCTCAGATAGTAAATAAAATTTGTTTATCATAAACGTGTGCATGAATCTGATGATAACTAATCAGTAATGTTTGTTTAAGTAACAATTTCTTTTCTAAATCATTACTGGTACATATATATATATAATAGGTACTTGTTTTTTAATGTTGAAGTATTAAAAAATACTTTCATAGAAATAGCATTGTTCTTTCTAAACCAGACAAGGAAAAGTGAAAGTCTTATCAAAAGTTTGCATTTGCTTAATGTAAGAACTATTTCACTATTAGTGCAATGCTGACTGGTTTGGTTTTGAATGTGACATAAAACGCGCAGATAAAACGTTTGCTGTACTTTTCGGTGCAGCCACGCCAAGTTTTTTTATGTAAAAAATTAATTATTTTTTATGTTTCGACTTTTCACAAACGGCAAAGTCTAACTATTGATACAATAATTTTGTACTTTTTAGTTTTTATATAATGTTTTTAATTAATATATATTATTTGATATAATGTTTTTAAGGAAAATGTACATAAGTGTACTTGATGCTACTTTTGATATCATTTCTTTTGTAAAGCTGGTTTTGTAGAAAAAGATGTGTTTGTTTGGCGTGTACTTGGTGTCTTTTTCTCCCTTTTTTTTTTAATATTATTACGTGCACATATATGGGCAAATCCACCGTAGTATTAACTTTTATGAAAATCTATTTTTTTTCAAATGTGCAGCACATACATCTCATATTGACGAACATGTCTAAAATAATTCAAAAACACCAATGTACCCGCGTTAATGGTTTTAAGTAAACGGCGCAAAGTTTATCTGATTGAGATCGACTTATATTTCTTTCCAGGTTTACAATGCAACCATTTTTACATTACGCACTCTTAACGTCATAACTAATAAAATTGGGTTTGAAAATTGTAGCCACATGGATTACGTGATATAGTATAAGAAAGAGTTTACAGTTGATATAGACTAAAAATATTTTTCTTGGAATATGTGCTGAGGTGATTTGTGGATTTTTCAATGAATTTACGCTTTTGGAGGCAATCTTTGATACACTGATGTGTGTTTCAGTTTTGAGGCAAAATTTTCAACAACGTCTTAAATTTTTTGTTTCTGCTACAACTTCGGTAACTCCGTTAGTCAATTAACTTAATTGACTAACTAACGGCGCGTATGTAATATTGGTAACTTTACAAAACTTATATATTTAATATTTTGCAACAATGGAGGGACATTTTTCAGCGGCCACTATTTTTTACGGTTACATGACTCATGATCTACCTCCAGGAAAAAATATATGAATGCAAGAACTAACTTTTCCATTTATTACGAAAGAGTTATATTATATAACACGGTGCAGGTACAAAGTTATTAAGAGTGAAATACAAATTCGAAAAGGACGAAATAAATTTTATGATTTTCTATATTTTTACCGACTTAGTGTACTTTTAAACTCCAGCAATGACACGAACGCTCTGCATTCTTATACATAGTTATTTCGAAATAGTATACGAAGAAAAAATACGTCTTGTGCATATGAAAAATAACTCAGATTCAGTATAAAAAAGTCAATCAAAAGTTAAAACTACGGTGGATTTGTTTGTGGATTTGTACATTTTAAACATGCAAATTATAACATACATGCTTGGTTTGCATCCCATGTATATAAAATATTCAATTTAATTTTATTATTATTGTTTATATATGTATGTATGTAATTAACGTGGAAAAAATCAATTACGTACCCTTCCAAGAGAATGGTTTCGAACTTCTTGACAAGTTCTCGATCGATTCCCATAAGATCATGAGCGTAACGACCAGTGCACGCGCATCCTCCTCGCGCCTGAATGCCAAAAACGTCGTTCAGAATAGCGCAAACAAAATTATGATGAAGAAACGTGCCACGAGGATGGCGCACCATAAACGAAAAGATAGGTAATCGTTTTATATTTTGCGACGAGCTACCAAGTAAAATTAATTCCGGAATTGTGCGTACGTGAGCTAGAACTTGCCTGAAAATAAATTGATAATTATTAATATAGTATTTTTTTCAATATATATATAAACAAATTTCAAAAATATAAATAAAAACTATATATATACGTACAGTGATTACGGTTTACGTATATAACATAAGAATAATTAATAAATTTATCTATATGTAAATATATATATATATTAATAATTAAATTTTGTATGATGTATATTTTATATACAATACAGTAGAACCTCGGAATAGCGAATCGTGGAATAGCGGAATAGGATTCATCCCTTCCATGCGCATGAAGTCTCTCTTCCGGAACATAAAAGAGGAAGCTTAGCGCTCAGTGATGTGTAACTGTCAAAGCGTGCTCAGCGCCGTTTAGGTTACGTTACGCAAAAGTATCACGTTGTGTGTATACGGATCGTGTGTGTACAAATATTATTATTATTGTTATTATTGTTATTATTATTATTATTATTATTATTGTTGTTGTTGTTGTTATTATTATCATTATCATTATCATTATTAATGCAATTATTATTATTATTATTTTTAATGCAATTGAATATACAGGGTGTCCCAGAATTGGTTTAACATCTCTCGTAGGCAGATAGAAGGAATAAAACTGAGGTAAAAAGTCCTATACCATTTTGCTAGATTCGCAATAGTTACTGAGATTTTAATTAACAAAGATCCGCGAATAAGCATGCATC